ATCATTCCATTTTCTAGAAATTAAAATCTATTAATATATAATAAGGATTAACTTAAATCATTTTTAGTAACATTTTCCCGCCATCAGCATTAATTACTTACTATAGATGGAAATAATATAATACTATTTAAATAAAAAAATAAATCATTAATTGCATAGTTTCCATATAACTCAGATTTCATTCTGTGTTTATTTTAGACAATTATATGTTTCCTTTAATTAAGTTAATAGTTATTTTGTAGGTAAAGGTTATTTTGGAATCTTGATTTATGTAGTTGATTTCATGTACATAATTATGTAGCTTATTTTGGAATCTTCATTTATGGAGGATTCTTTTTTATTTTAAATAGAATCATTAATTTGGATTAGCATATATGCTATATACACAAAATACAATTTTATAGTAATATTCAAATTTATATGGCGCCAATTTTAGAATTCTCATTTATAAAAGATTCTTTTTGATTTCATCATATTTATTAGAATCAATGATTTAGGTTGCCATATATATACACAAAATATAATTTTATGGTAACATTCAAATTGGTTTATTCATTTAGCAAATTCTGAAAATAAACGATTTATTATGATATATATATATATATATATATATATATATATATATATTCCCTTATGTGAGATATATACAAATCCTCATTTTATATTATTTGTTACTATTGTTTTTAAAACAAAGTTTTTGAAATTTTGTATAGGAAATCGATTTTCTATTGATTTTATTGGTAAAATATAAATCTGCTAGACAAAAACTATATATATATATATATATCTACATAAAAAATATTCATACATATAATATAATAGGGCAGTGGTCCAATTAAAAATTGTTCGATTTAAAAAAATTAACGTGAATTAATGTCTAATTACACATGTTATATAATATTTTAGGTGTTTTTAATTTTTTAAATATACATGTTTAATTTTCTTTTATAATGAAATATAAAAATATAAAAATAATGATAAATATTATTTCGCTAATTAAGTATAATTGATATTAAAATGATAAACTAACAACTCATTGTCGAACTGTCAGGTAAATTATCATATTATAAGTAGATTATTCTGATCTTAGAGTTTCATTTAAGTTCCAACGGCATCTGTTCTTACTTATAGTTTTTTATGTCATTACAATAAATAAAAATCAGCGTCAGATTTTATCGTACTTTGACTTTTTTCTTAAATAAATTAGTATTTAGTCACGCCTATTATATGTTGTTGTTTCGCATGGAAGTAATAGAAATGAGTTTAAAATATTAGTTTTTGGGGACAACAAGTTGCCAAGTAATCAAACTAATAATATTGTACAATAAGGTTCTTAATAATATATTTTTTTTTATGATGAATATTTTATGATTTCACAATATACCTACGTAATATCACTATTTTATTTTTTAATACACTTCAAATTATAATATTCTCTAAAATAAATAAAGTCCGTGCATCGCACGGGTTACGTACTAGTAAAATAGTAATTAAAGATGATAAAATTTTAATCTTTGGCTCCTTGTACTTCATGTTATTAAATTCTAGCACCATATAAAAGAACTATATTTTTTTTTTTTTAAAATTAAACTCGGACAAGAAAAGTAACTCAAGAACAAAATCCTATTTTTTTTTTTATCTCCCAACAAAAATCTTATTTATATATAAATAAATTTATTTTTTCGAGTTTAAGTGTATCTAGTATAATACCGTATACTACATGGGTGTTGGATAAAATAATTGGATATACAACACAAAATAAAAGAAAAAATGATATATTTTGCAAAAGTAGGAAAAAATAAATAAGGAACATTATATAACAATTTATAATGAAAAACTAAGAGAATCAGGGGCGAATTTACCTTGAGCAATGGGGGGGCAATTGCCCCCCCTCAAATTTTAAATTTTTTAACTATTAATATCAAAAAAATTAATTTGCCCCCTCTTAAATGTATTTTTTGCACCCCCAATTCTTTTTTAAACATCACTCACAAAAAAAAATAAATAAATAAATAAATTGTTTTTTGTATTTTTGTATTTTTGTTATCTTTTATAAATTATGTCATGTCTTTTGCTCAAGGTAGGCAAAACCGGACCGGTCAAGCTACTAGTTCAATAGTTCACTGGTCCGACCAGTGATTGAACCGGTTGGACCGTTATTTAATT